AGTGCATTAACAATATCGACGCACGACTCACGGACAAGTTTCCGTTCAACCGTAATGTATAATTGGCCTGTTTTGAACCTTTTTATCTAAAAAAACTACTGCTCGGAACGAAAAATGGCAAATAACTTTTTAATTTGTTTTTTCGACGACTTTCTTGCTATGGTATTTTGATTCGCAAATTTCAGGACACCCTGTATATTTGACAGCGACCCCCTCCCCCCCCCCCCCGCCTGTCAATTCTACTCGCACAGTATCGTCGGCGAAAAAGTAGCCAATCGGGCGCCGTTATGGCGGCGTTTGTCACGTGGTAACCTCACCGCGAGCGTTTACCTCCGCACCAATGGTGTATTATCTTCCGATGCACCTCTGCACCGAAAAATAATAGCGACAAGTCAACACAGCACGTTGAGAAGAGCGGAACGGAAAGGGTAAGGGACAAGCAATTCCGATGCGGTTTCGAATGTCCCTCAAGGGTTACCATTTTTCAGACAAAACACGAAGACCCGCCGTTCGGCGAACGTTGCACCCGAAATTAGGACTCGTTCACTCGAAAGCTTCCGAAAAAAAGAGGAGCGAGCGCTCGAAATTCGTTCGTGTTCGAAATACCGTCTCCTCCTCACGCTTTCTCGCACACATTGTACGTTTCTCTCTCGTCCCTCTCGCGGACGTTTCTCTTTCAGATCGGACGGAATTTATTTTCCGCTTAATGTCGATCCGTCGTCCCCGATTCAGCGATCAGCGCATCGAGGTTACCCGCCGAACGAGAGAGCACCTTACGTTCTGACGCCTACTGTACCGCGTGCGCGCGCGCACGCCTCATTCTGGATCGATGCCCGTCGTGTGCGAGGTCACTATTTGCCGAACCCGACGACAGATGTACACAAGTTCGATACGTCCCGACGAAACGGTAGGCCTGTCGCGCTCATGGGCCGAACGCGTGCACGAATCGTCGCCGGAGAGCGTCCGTCCGCGATCGAGGGACGCGATCAGGCCCTGCTCAAGTGGGCCGAGGGCCCTGACCTTATATCGAGGCGAAAGATGGCGGACCGAGGATGGGCATCTCCCGCTGAGGTGTACACTAGGAATCGCTGATGCCTTCCCATGTGGATTCAGTCGCGTATTAATACGTTCGTACATTTTGCATGTCATACATGGAAAATGTGTGTGCATTTTTACCTGCGCCTAAACTCATATGGGAAGACATTAGCGATTCCTAGTGTACAGCGGTGCACTTTTGCTCTTATTCAGCCAAGTTTTTATCTGTAATTCTCGACGTGGTCTCGTTAGACTAGCATTTTTTTTCTCTTTTTTTTTCAGTGACTAGGTCTGTCTCGGCGTCCAATCAAAAACCTCGCAACCTTGAGCGGTCGCGGGAATGCGCACTTATATCTGCACAAAGTCACTTTAAGGTGCATTCACCTTGGAGAGAATTGCGCCCCTTAAACGGAGCAAATTGTTTTGCATTGGCGTTAAACGAAGGTTACGGAAACGCACGAGCTGCAGCGCAGTGTGGAGAGGAGTTATCGGGGACGTTCTTCGTTTCAGCACAAACGGAACGGGCCGCGCCGCGACGCGCCGACACTTATAATTGTGTCGAGAACGGAACGTCATTCGCGGAACATCGCGGGCGTCATTATCGCCCCTTTGTATCTTCAAACGAGTGTCAAAGAAACCGCGCGAACTGTCCTCTGCGTCGCCGACGGGTTTGCGCATCGGGAGTGGAGTGCACTGCACTTAGGCCCCGAGTCTCCGACCCGAAGGTTGCCGAGCGCGCACGAGGCGTCGACAAATGCGAGTCGAAACTGCGCTCGCGACGCCCCGATTCGCTGCGCAATAAGGGAATCTTATTTTTAACCGACACGTACAGACCGCGGCACACCGGCAATTGCTTTTCGAAAAAACTTTTCCCGTCCCGTTTACGTCGGTCTGGAGGAGCTACAGAGGCGTCCGGCAATTCCGGGTGGAATTGCTCTGCCCACTGACGCGTCCAATCAAAAAATTTAGGTCTCCCACCGCTGCGTTCACACGTTTCGTGTCCCCACTCGATTTCTCCTCTCATACGTTCATTTTCGTAAATTCGTGTCTTTATTCGAATGTAACACGTGCATACAATTAATAGGTTTTAGTTAGTCTTATCACCTTGTCTCACGCGTCAGGTGGCGTATTTGCATAATTTTCACTGTACAATTCCGTCAGGATTCCTTGTTCGCGTCAGGCCCAATTTATAATCGGACTTTTCGACGACATCCCGCGCTCATACGAGATCTTTTAACAATTTACACATGAAACGCTCGTCGCGGATTCGTTTTATTGAGCGGTTGATGAATAGAGCCCTTCCCTTTTACCGATGCACCAATAGCAGAGTTCGTGGTGGGGGAAACGGCGCAGCTTGTCAGTATATTGTAGAGACGATCGATTTTCGTCAGTCCGTTTCGATCTCAAGTTCAATACTTGACTGTGATATAGATTTAGCATTTTTGATCTTGGAAAATCCCCCCCTCCCCTCATTGTTCAACCTTGTTTACGTACGTATTGTCCAATGAGTTATATCGGTATTAATAAACTATCGAAATTTCTTATTCTATAATAATATAATTCTAACTCAAGCTACATAAGTCAACACATTCGTAGGTTTTTTTTTATTAATTAAACATAATAGAAATAATTTTAACCTAAAATAAACTTGTATTTCCCCCCCCCCCTCCTCTTTCCGACCTCCCAGGTGAGACATGTAATCCCGACAAGCGTCGGGAAAAAACCATTCCCCGATAAGCGAGAGAAAAAGACACAGGAGAAATATTTCTGTTAAAATTCTGTCTATTTGTAATTTACAATAAAACAAATAAATTAGCAGAAGAGCACAATTAATTCATCTATCTTATTTTAAAAAGTTCTTTTCCATACATTCTTGAACCTTTCACTTCTAAACTCTTTTCCCATTTGACTGTCCTCTTCTGCCACTCCCCGAGTGACTAATACCATGGGACATTGACCCCCCTCTCCTTAAAGTTCTTATCTCAGCGAAGAAACCAATACAATATTTTTCCATAAATTACTACAGTTTTGTACTGTAATGAAGTTTTTCGAAAAATGTAGTATCGGAAAATTCGAAATTACCGAAACGAAAACGCGTTCACGATAAAAAGAAAACTATTTTCTATTTCGTAGTTTTCAAATTGTAGGGTTTGCCAATAATCAGGCGCATCAAATACTTTTCGTCTATCGATCTTGCAGTACCAATCGCACAAGGTGGGCAGTAAATCAGACAAACGATTCACAGACAGACTCAACTTAATCTCGAATCGTGATTGGTTTAAGTGCTAAGTCCCTCGTATTTTCACAATTATTCAAATAAAACAAATGACAAGGTCACTTTCTATATAATTTCAAATGCACTTTTTTGCGATATTTTTGGATGAATTTGTGGACAAATGCAAAAATCTAACAAATAAGAAATATCGTACGTTGGATTTGAACTAAAATAACAATATTGCTGGCTACCACATTCACGATAATAACAACAATAACTTTATTGTAGTGTGTTAATATAAACAACCATGTACAGAAATTTTATAATTTAATTAAAAAACTAATAAAAAAGTTAGATATACACGTATACATATATAATTAGAAAAGTATGCAATAATTCACAGTTAAAAAATCTGAACAATCTACAGAAAATCAATATGAAATCTTAAAGTGTCAACATTAAAAAAATATTAAAACTATTATGAATAATACAATTAATAATAATTAAATCCAAAATGTGTTTTGGTGTGATGTGATGTCGCGTTCTCTAAAGGTCAGCTTAACAAGCAGCGCCATCTGCCGTTAGCTCTTATCTCGACGACAAAGTGCTATTGCGTCGTTGTGTAACACGTGTTGCAACACGTAAAATTATCTTTCAATTTTCCATAATGTAATTTTAAATCTTTCAAAAATAATATTGCAATAATAGATTACAATCAAATGCCAAGATTATCTTCTGATCTAACTGAGAAGACTAGATAATAGATATGAAACATTGATTGTTAATAATATACACAGGTAAAGCAACTCATAATAACATCCTCATGACTTTATTCATTGTTTATAGTAAAAGCCAACTAACAGTTACATAACATCACTATTATAATTTTACACTCAATAATATCAATGTAGTATAACACATGTACGTAACAACTACGTTGTTGAGTAGGAAATTATAATACTAATGTTATTGTTAGTTGGCGTTATTCACTAGAAAGTAATAAGCAAAGTCACAATGACGTCACCTCGTTATTTACAAGTGATTAATGAATGATAAGTGATGTCACACATTATGAGTTACCTATGTGTTACCTATGGGTATCCAAGAATATTATAGTGGCATCACCATAGACTCAGAATATGATCATGAGATCACAGGATGTCACTGTGACATTTTTGTTAAGGGAGGTACTTATATACCCAAGTAGAACACATTGGTCTTTATATGTTTCCTAAAAACTTATAAGACATTAGGCATCTTTCAGAAACATATACATGGAAAACGTATATATGAACTACCATGTGCTACCTGGGTAGCATTCTACATTCTATCCAGGTAGAACGTAAAACTCACAGTGACATCGTGTACTGTTCATTAATTACTTATAAAAACCTTGTAAAATGTCACAAACTCATCCTAAATAGTCTCAAAGATACTAAGTATTTTCTACTTACCCAAGGAGAATAAACAGTCAGGTTGATGTCAATTTGATGTCATATTGACCAAATTTGTGTCATATTTTAGTCAATCTGATGCCATGTTGACCAAAAGACAAACTTGATCAATATGACATCAAATTGACATCATCCTGATTTTTTGTTCTCCCTGGGTAAATACACATAAAAAATATGAGATAATGTGAAATAGTGCACACTCTTAATAGAAAATACTGTCAATACAATAATGACAATAAAATTATATATATATCGGAAAATTTCTGCAATACGTTAAATTAAATAAAAAATATTTGGAAACTTTTTACGTGTGATGTAGGTTGATCTTTATTAACATTTCGATTTTGATATTATATTATTGATGGATAATAAATATTATCTGTAAACAAAGGTCACTGAAGACAGTTGAAACTTATACAATGTTGTTTATATTTACGTAATAGCTACGATTTCTGAAAATTGTACCGTATTTGTCGAGTTTTGTGAAAATATACCAATAAGTAGAGGTATGACATTTTTATGTTACCTTTGTACGCAAAATATCGCAAAATTCCCCAGGAACGTTTTTAACGTTATTTCTTTACATTTTAGAGTTCCTAACTTCGTTTTAACACGTTTTTAAAACGCAAAATAACGCAAATAAGTCGGGCCTAAATCGTCTTATTGAAGCCCTGCCCACCTCTGACCACGGCATTGTCAAAAACATTATCAAAATAATGCAAAGTCCAGCAAGGCAAAACGCAAAAAGTTTCAAAAAAATAACATCAAAATAATGCAAAATCTGGAAAAACAACGCAAAAATACCAAAAAATAACATCAAAATGTCACACCTCTACCTATAAGTTATTGGTCTACAATAGTACCTATGACGTAACAAATGAATCTTGTCGCGTAACTAAATGTTCCATTAACCTCAAAATTAACGAAATTATCAGCTTGCATCTCCGAACGACAAAATGGCGTACACGAGGCTACAAAATGGTACCTTTATTACGTCAAAGCGTCTCTATGGCAATACAGCAAACGTCTCCGCGTCAATTTGGACCTCCAGGCCCAATTGCAGCAATGTGGCTAACTCGATCCACGGTTGCTTACGGTATTTATTTTGAGAAAACCGGATAAAAGTACCCAAAAAAATCATTTCGTCTCGAGCCTTAAACGTACGTGCACGATCTCTCGGGCGTTAAAAAAATCCAAACGGGCCTGAGGCGTGTACGAGTCGAAAATTGAATAAAGGGAATCACGATAAAATGCTAGTCTGCAGCGTTTCGTCGTATCCCCTTAACGGTTGCTCATTGTAAGTCCAGTAAGTGAAAAGTCAATCCAAGCCTACGCCGAGACATTACTAAGACAGTAATCGATCAACTTACGTTATATCATTGTGCGGGAAGATTGTGGGTAGCGATGTATTAACTTGCGCCACGTGGAAACAGGTTATATTTACGATAAATATGCCAGAAACCGACTGCACTTCTGATAGTTGACCAGCGAACAGCTGCAACATCGCAATCTAAACAAGTGACTCTGGCAACGTTGCCGATTCTCCCACTACCGTTGCCCCGAGAGCGTGCATCCAAAGTGGTGCTACAGTAATACGGGAAATGCAGCAATATTTCGGTTAATTAAGGACGTACGGCGCGTGTCCGAGTGGGGAAAATTTGCGGGGAAATAATATGTCAGGATACGAGGGTGTTACAACGCGAATAAGC